CTTGCACAACTCCATAAAAATCGATTTCACCCCTCACGCAAACCCCATAGTTAGTTGTCGCCCGCTTTGCACCGTGACGGTATGTGTGAAAAACATAGCCCCGAGTGAAATACATTGAGGCTGTAGTTATTTTGGCCTTCGTACCTAGTAGTAACTCATGGAACCATGTTGGAAATTCATCCGGATCATTCGGGTCTACCTAATATGAAAAAAATTCCGCTTTTATTTCTTGATTTCGATATATAGCATTAAAGTAGTCTTTTAATTAAAATTTTAAACGTACTTGTTCTTTTAACCACTGGGCATAGTGTTGATCTTTACGATCATTGATTTCAGTTTCAGAAACCCCAGATATGCATTCTTTAACCTCATCAACAAATGTGCTGAGAAAAACAACAAATAGTAATTAATACTGACAACTTTAAAAAAGATATTATTAATTAAATTAAAAGGTACCTTTCATACGATGACAACTCTTCACAATTTAACAGGATATACGTATGTGCACTGTGATAATCTTTTTCATTGGACCACCAAACATCTTTTAGTTTTCCACTAAGACGTCCGATCGGCGAGAATATGTCAGGTACATCTTCAACGGCATATGTATGGCCAACTCCTCCATCATCATATCGACGAGTAGCTCTATTGCGTGTTCGTACTTTCGGTGCAAAATAGTATGAAGTGAAGTGTGAAGCCTCTTGCGTCAAGCTTTCCGCCACAATTGAGCCTTCCACTTTAGCTAGGTTTTTGGCTTTACCTTTAAGATGCTTCATGAAACGCTCGAACGGATACATCCACCTGTACTGAACGGGTCCACCGAGCTCTGCTTCGTGTGGGAGATGAACAGGAAGATGTTCCATAACATCAAAAAAATGATGGTGGGAAGATCTTTTCCAAATTGCACAACAAGATTGGAATATTCAATGCCAGTTGTGATATTACATCAACTGATAATGTTCGTGTACTAAGATCCCGAAAAAAGCACCAATGCCTCCTATAGCTTCATGGACGTTTTTGGGCAAGAGTTCAGCAAATGCAAATGGAAATAATCGTTGCATAAACACATGGTAGTCATGGCTTTTCATCCCAGCAAACTTTACCCCCTTCTCAACAGATTTGGAAAGATTAGAGACATACCCATCAGGAAATTTAACGTCAGAAGAAACCCATCTGAACAATGCTGACTTTTGATCTGCACTCAACCGAAATACAGGAACTGGTGCTTTCCCGTTTCTCAGTAGATGCAACTCACTTCTGTTGCATAAATTAGGCAAGTCCAATATTGACTTACCATTTTCTTTTATTCTTCCCGCTACGTTCATAATTGTATGCATGATGTTATCAAAAAAGTTTTTTTCAATGTGCATGACATCAAGATGGTGTCTGAGCAGATGATCTTTCCAATAAGGTAGTTGCCAAAAGATACTTTTCTTGTGCCAATTATGATGAACTCCATAACCTTCAGGCATATTTGCAGGAGTGTGCCAGTTTCCCCCACGAGTTACTGTTTCTTCTGCCCTCCAATGATCGATTTGCGCCTGTATATCAGCTCCTGTTAAATTAACGGGTGGAGGGACATGTACACTTTTGTTCTTCATAAATAACCTTTTGTTCCTCCGATATGGATGGTTATCCGGTAAAAATCTCCGGTGACAATCAAACCAACAAGTTTTTCTACCATGTTTTAGCTGAAACGCATCAGTTCGATGAAGACAATAAGGACAAGATAGCCTCCCATGTGTAGTCCATCCTGATAGCATACCATAAGCGGGGAAATCGCTTATTGTCCACATTAGCACAGCCCGCATAGTAAAATTTTTCCTCGTAGAACAGTCATATGTACGAACGCCAGTATACCATAACTGATTCAACTCATGTATGAGTGCTTGAAGAAATACATCGAGAGCTCGCTTCGGATGATTTGGACCTGGAACCAAAATACTTAGGAAAAGAAATTCCCTTTGCATGCACAAATCTGGAGGAAGGTTATAAGGAGTTAGGATTACTGGCCATAATGAATATTGTCTACCAGACATACCAAATGGACTAAAACCATCAGTGCACAGACCAAGATAGACACTCCGTTTGAACTTAGCAAAATCTGGGTATACCATATTGAAGTGTTTCCATGCCTTTGCATCTGATGCATGAACAACTTCTCCATCTACTTGTGTATGTTCCGCATGCCATCTCATTGATGCAGCTGTCATTTCAGATTAATAAAGCCGTTTTAACCTATCAGTTATAGGGAGATACCTCATACGTTGGTACGGTATCCTTTTACGCCCACCAGTTTGCGGCCTGTATCTTGGTTTTTGGCAAAATCGACATTCCTCCAGCTGATCATCATCTTTCCAAAAAATCATACAATTGTCAACACATACATCTATCATCTCAGAAGGTAGACCAAGACTAAAAATCAACTTCTGAATTTCATAGTATGTTCCCGCTGCCAAGTTATCCTCCGGTAGAGACTCCTTCAGAAGATTAGCCCAATCATCCATGCAAACCTCAGCCAGGTTATGATCTGTTTTAATTGACATCATCCCAGCTGCCAACGATAATTTAGACAAGCCTTCTCTACATCCTTCGTAGATTGGCTGATTAGCATTGTCTAACAAATCATAAAATCGTTTGGCATCTACATTAGGTTCCTCAACAGCATTACCCGTATGCGTTTCATGAAATGCATCAGTCACTATTTCGTGCATCCTATCATGATCTACACTTTGGTCATATTGATACTGATTAGGCTGATGACCATAATTCGATTCATCAATATCAACATGACTTTGATAATTACTACTACTACCAGCATTCCCAGTATTACTGCCATATCCTTCTCCATGTAGATACCAAACAAAATATTGCGGCATAAACCCTCTATTTAATAAATGCGTCCACACGGTTTTGGTTAGTGTATACCTCGTATTCTTGCATTTCAAACAAGGACAAAACATCTTCCCACTATCTTTCGTTCTCTCCATATTTGTAGCCTGATACATAAATATTTCTAACCCGTTCTTGAACTCTTCTGTCAACGCCCCATCTGAATCTTTACGCATATACATCCAACTTCTTAGCTCGTATATAGACATCTTGAAAATAAACTCACAATACTATCTCTTTTTATTGATTAGACAATAAAGGAGATGGTCTCTTGTGTCACGTCTAGCCACGTGAATAGAGTAAATTAACCTTATAATATTATTACTTCTTTTTTTCAAAGTAATATAACTCTTAATTCGGGTTTCCGGCAATGGACAACCCAATATATAAGGATTTACAACACTATACTAAAATTTAAGACACCTACAATGGGTCTCCAAGATGAAGATGCTCTTATGTTTGAATGATGATGTGTTGTGATTGAATGAAGGAATGAAGATCTATTTATAGGAAAATTTCGGGCTTAACAACGCTTTTACGACGACTTTTTACGACGGTTTTACATTCAACAATAATATTACGACGAGTTTACGATGATTTTGTGATAAAATTTTTCATCTACAATTGTTAGGTAAACATGTTTTAAATGTTTTCACCTAACTCCTTTTTCGACGTAAAATCGTCGTAATATGTACATCGAAATGTAGTCGTCGTATATTCGTCGTAATTTTGCGACGAATTTACGACGGTTTTATATTTACTAGCAAATCTCTCGTTATCGATGTATAATCGTCGTAAATTGTACGTCGAATTTACGACGATTTTTTTATACGACGGTTTTACGATAATTTTTAAATTAGACGTTAGATGATCGTAAAATCGTTGTAAATTTGCGACGATTTATAAACCGTCGTAATGGACCATTGGAAAACGATCGTTTTCTTGTAGTGTTGGAGCCACTTATTTAAGCAATACTTATGATGAAATTACGGCACATAGAAATCTGGATGGTACACTTTATCTTCTTTACTAATCCATTCCTGTTTTCCTGTAATTACTATTTTGTTGGATAATCTTATTTTAAATTTTGTAATTTTTTTTGTGTGTTTTCAGTTCGTTTCATAATAACTCTATTCCTAGTAGCTGAAAATTTTTATCATCAGATTTTGTAAGGAAGAAAATGAAGAATGAGGTACATAAATTAAACTTTGTTTATATTTCTTCTTGTGTTTTTGCTTCATTAGTCAATAAAACAATTTTTCTTTCTTGTGTGTTTGTTTTGCCTCATAGATAGAGTCAGAAAGGTCTTTGAGCTGCAAACAACAACAGTTCTGCATGCAAATTATCTAGCTGATCATTGAAGAGTGAAGTGAAATAATTTTCTTACTATTATCATATTGCTTGCTGGTTTGGGTTGCTCACTTTCTGATAATTAAGTAACACACGTAAACACAACAAAAGACATCACTTTCTAGTTAGATAACACACTTAAACACAACAAAAGACACCAAAAATACAACAAAAAGAACACTAAAAACACTACAAAAACACATAGAATCAAATACAAATCACAGCATAAGCAACAACAAAAAAGCATGACAATACATATTAATCTCACGCACACGCTCCAACACTATGAAACTCAAAAAAAAACTTCACAAACGGTCAACATTAAAATATATATATATATATATTTCCTTATGCTTTATTATAAATTTTAGATTTTTTTGTTTTATTTTTTTTTGTTTCATTTTGTTTTTCTTATAGTAATATGTTATGACAATTTCTATTATATCGTATCGAAGTCTACATGCATATATAGACATAGTTTTTTCTATTAAATTTCTTGTTTACGACTTGTGTTACATCTGCTATCATTATGTCATGTTATATTTGATCATATCTAATGGAAAATTTCATTATATTGCAAGATTTAAAGTTAAAATATAGGCAAACAGTCAGTCTCGACTTGGAGCACACATAAAATTTGTAGTAAAGTCAGTACCAATGGTTTTTCTTCAGTGTTTCCACCAATAATCAGTGGACAAATGTGATAGATAAGAGAGCTTCACGGATCTCAAATATATGTTTGGTTAAACGTAACAAACTTACAATAAAAACGAAAACTATAAATTCAATAGATACATTTGGTTGATCTTGATTAATCAAATCTTAATTAAAACAACAACGAAGCATAGAACAATTGGTTCCAAGTATCTGGGAGACCAGGAAGACACCAGTGGCTACAATCAGATGAACGGTCAGGATTTCTCTTTAGAGAAGGATTAAGATCTCCACTATAGATCGAAGGATGACCGTCGATTCGAAGAGCAGAGAGCATAGATATATCCATCAATGAGACATGAGATTTCATATCATTCACCACTTCGTCAATCACTTTCTTCTGGCTTACGTATGAGCTTGTTGGGTAATTTGTTCCACTAAACGGTGTCGTTTGACCGTAGCAGCTTTTTGCTCCTTGAGTTATCGTTGAAGCTTTTGCTCTTGAAGTCCACTCATTTGGACTGCATCACATTTTCACAACAAGTATGTATAAATTAATATATATATTTACTTAGTTGGTTTCCTATATTTATGTAAGTGCAATTTTGAAATCCAAGAAGTCTATTTATCAATTTCATGCATATAAAGAAATTAAGCTAATTTCTGAAAAATTCCATTAATTGTTAGGGAACACGATTATTATATGCTATAGGAATGGTAGAATATATACAACATTAATTGTTATGTTTGCGGGTACATTACATTTACTCTCGCAAGTTGCAAGGAGAAAAGATTTCTCATTGGCAAAACTAAAACATTTGGACTATTATTTGGGGCCATATTCAAATACACAGCTCAAATGTGGACCTTTAATCCTTTATCAACAGACTATTCTCATGGTTATCCGTTGAACCTTTTTTTTTTATGAAATCATGCAAAAAATATCTCTTTTTAGGGTCAACTAAGACATGCCAAATTGCCATAAACCATGAACATTTTGTTTTGGACAAGGCAAAAAATGAATTCACGTTTTGATATGACTATATAGAGATTTTTATTATAAGCAAAACCATACGGCTTTTGGATAGAACAAACGTATCTATCACGTCTACACTTTGTTGTGGCTAGCTAGTAAAAATGAGGCCACGATGGTAAGTAGATAATAGTAGTAGATTGGTAACAACTACCAAGCCAATTTATTTAATATAGTTTGGCAACATCTAACACAACCCTCAATTAATACCAATGCATGTGTTTGATTGTGTTTCCTCTCATTCAATACTTTGCCGTTGATATCACGATGATTTATTATTATTTATCAACACTACACGAGCTAGCTTATTATATATGAGTCAACCTCATCACATAACCCCTCAACGTCATATATGGATGAGTTACTAATTTAGAGATATAAATGGATATAAAACCAAAAATGACCTTAAAAAAATGAAAAAAAAGAGAGGTACATACTTGTAATGTGTGGGTGAGACGGAGAGGAAGAAAACTCTTGTGAGAGGAGAGTTGATATAACTCAGGACCCAATTAGACCATGTTTTTAGTCCTTTTCTCAATGCCACCAACCTATCCATGTCTCCGTAATATCTCCCTCCTGTCTCCATCTGCTCCCACCTGTCTCATCCCCCAAAAAACTTTCACTTTTCACTCAATTTTACCTCTACTAGCTACGTGAAAATCAACCAATAGAGGTTAAAATTTGTTTAGCTTACCCTCGTAAAGACCCTGTGTGGCTCCACCAGTGACCAGTGTTGAACAGCAGAACGTCGGCCGTGCGCCAAGCCTTGGATGCATCGATAGAGATTTCATCGAGCTTAAGAGTTGTCTTTCCGTGAATTTTGTCTATGTCTACAAGATAAGGTGCTCTATAGAATGACACTTTAACGTTGTATTCCTGTCATTGATGCATCCATGTATTAGCACAAGAAATTGAATTTATCTAGGTAATAAACAAATAGAGAACACAAAAGATAAAGAGAGATTATGAAGGAATATAGAAAGAGGTTACAATTACACGAATGAAGGAAACATATTTTTGATTATTTGTTTTTGTATTGTTAGGAAATGGTAATGTTATTTATGTGCTAACGTCACTTTTCAACTAATTTTAAGGAATAGACCTGAAACTGTTTTCAGCAAACTAAAATTGTTTTCATTCTGATTCGACAAAAAAAGGTAATAGATTAGTGGGACCTAGAGTTATATTATCTTATATCACCAATTACAACTTTAGTATCTGAAACCGTAAGAAAATATAGTTATAAGTTAAAACCAATTAAGAGTGAATATTTTAGCAAAAATATTTAAAAGGTTTCACATAATATTCTGAAACAAAGATTAATTAAGAGTTTTTTTTTTTGTAAGAGTACTTGTTTATACTAGCTAGTGGATCTTATTCTAATCCGAAGAGCTTAGATCTAAGTATCTGCAAATCTGCAAATAAATATTATTTCATATTCATGCACAGAAGTGTAATAGAAATATGGAATACTTTTAAACTTAAAACCAAAATATAAAGTGTAATATATTAAACTTTAAAGTGTAATTGAATAGTTACTAATATTGCTTTCGAGAGTTTTAGTTTTTCTTTTGTCCCTTTATTTGGACTAGTGAAAATGTCACCGACGACGTCAAGTTGGGCAGCTAGTAACAGTTGAAAACGAATCACTACTTTTGGCTCATGTCTCACAAGGTTATTCGAGAAAAATCAACCTAAAAAAAAAAAGGAATCATTAACCGACAGTAGTATTTTGTGTGGGAACTTACAAGGATCTTGAAGGTAGAGAGAGGATCTTCATGGATGATATGTGTATGAATGTGTGGTGCTGATGAAGAGATCATACACATCAACGACTCCCATTGGTTTCTACCCAACGAATCACCAACGAACATTATTGTTTTGTTCCTCATTTCTTGTAAAAACTTGACTCCATTGAATCTGCTTTCCAAAAAAATAAAAAAAAATCAGAAACATTCAATAAATAAATCATTGCCTCGACACCAATAATTACTTTAATCGCACCAAACTCTCCCAACAGCAAATTAATTCCGTTTTGTTTACTAGAAACGAATCTGTTAAACTTGCACTTATTACACAACTCTAAAAGGCTAATAATGAAACTTTCTTTAAAAAAAAAGTGACTTAGTAATACACAACTAATCATATTGTTAAGAGTTGTTAACTTAAAAAATTAATAAAGGTTATGAAGAATGTCCATACCATAATAATAATATTATACTATATTGTTGTATACTTCTCATAATTTCTGGGACCACTGCTACGACCATATAATCCCTATCTGATGACATCAAATAAAAATTATGATATATGATTTTGATTTTCTTTTTTTCTTCTAAATCTTGGTTGGTGCAGAAATTCATCTGTCCAAATCTAAATCTCTAGACATAAATTTAAAAACTCGAGGCCAGACGATAATCTCGATATCAATGCTCCTCAAAAGCAAGCTGGTACTAAAAATACATTTACCAAAATAAATAAGCTACTGAAAATAAAAATTAGATAATTAAATTAACTAAATCGGTCTAATGAAGTGAGCTAGTGAGTGAGTTTATATAACCTAGGAACGTCGCAGTTGAAAGGTTGCCACCGGAACTTGAGATAATCAGAGTCGGGTCTGCCGTAAGTCTGGCAGTCAAATCCCGGATCTATCATTCCTCCGCCGCATTCTTTGGCCCGGTAAAGCGGGTACGTCTCATCACGTACCCACTCGCCGGAGAACAGATCGCAGCTATTCCGGTTCACCGGAAAAACCACACGGCGTGGATGCTTGGCGAAGTTGCTGTGGCTGCTGTTGTTGTTATGGTTCCGCCGCCGGGAGAGAGGGAGAGGGGAAGCTGACGTGGTGTGTTGGAGAAGAAGAAGAATCAAGAAGAGGAAAGTGAGACATTGAAGAGCCGACATTAAAGAAGCTGAGAAGCGAGAAAAGAGAGAAAGAGAGAAAAGGAAAAGGGAAGTGTTATGTGTTGTCCTTTGCATGGGACTTACTACTATACGTTATGTTTTGAAGATTTTAGCCCCAAAGGACTCTACATCTTTTAATAGGACGAAAATATGGGGTCGGATTTTAATTTATTTTTTGTTTAGTAATTAGGTATTCTTGTTTTACCCATAAATAACTACATTTATTAGTACTAGTCCTAGTGGATTACGAACACTGCCCTACCCCCGAACTCTGAAATTTAACATTTTTAGGAAACACATAATAGCAAGCCGTAATTTAAAAAAAAAAAAAAAAACCAGAGAAAACTAGGAGTTTCGGCCAACATTTTTTTGTAAAGTAATACTTTATTTCAACAAAAACAACGTTTTTTTCCTATGAGTATTGCTGTTTCGATAGTTTTTCGGCTTTTTTTTAATAACTTAAAAGTTAAATAAATAAATAAACGTAGTGGGTTATAATTAACATAAATATAACGACCCTCTTTGTGTTTTCTTTGTTTGGTTAAAGCATGTACAAAATATAGATTCTTTGCTTTACTTCACCTTCATGTCTAGAATATGATCGATCATACTCGTTTCTAGCCACGTCACGTGTGTCAAAACCAGTGAAAGCTAACGGCAATGAATTAGAATTGATTTGTGTAAACCAAATTGGTAATGTGACAGTGGCAGCCACTCGCTCTAAACTCATAAACTAAACCGCTGATTGATGTTTGACCTGGTCTAAATATGGTTATTGGGTGCTATTGATTGGGCTATGGTTTAAATTGTGTACTCGTCCGGTTTGGTTCATAATTTTTTATAACCCAAAGTAAAAGCCCATTATGATTAAACCGACTAAACTAACTCTGGATACTTCCTTCGTCATTAGTATAAAAGCCGACCCGGCTCACTTTATTCCTCCTGCTTCCTCACCTTCGTTGATCTTGGAGCGTTTGAAATTCCTCGTCGCAACATTCTCTTGATTGGCTCAAGTTTGATCTCCCTTTACCTGTAAGTTCTCTCCCAGATTTTTTTATTCTCTGATTCCTGTATCTAGGGTTCTCGTTTTTTGTTTGATTCTTGATTTCTTTGCTCCGAATTAGTTTTTTAGGGATTTGTGATATTTACGCTTTTTTGATGGCTATGTTTTGTTGCTCTTCGAATTGTTAGCTTTCGTAAGTTCGAACAAAATTTCGATTTGGTTTCCAAGATTTCGTGACTGTGCTTACAGAGAAATTTGGTCGGTGCTGCTAATTGTTAATTTGGCTGCCTGTAAGGTGTTTGATTAAATTCCTATAAGAAATTAACTTGTAAATTCAATGTAGTTTTGGGTTTGATTGTTTGGGCATAAGTTAAAAAGCGTGAATTTTTGTTGAAGAAGACTGTAAGTAAAGTCTGAATTTTTTAGTTTCTGTTTGTTTACATGAAGCTCAATATTCATGTATAGAAGAAGTGACAACACTTTCTTTTTTTTTGTGGACTGAAAAACTATATTTTGCAGGTCAAGACACTGTTCTCGTAGCTATGGCGAAGCATCATCCTGATTTGATCATGTGCCGGAAACAACCAGGCATTGCCATTGGAAGGCTGTGCGAAAAATGCGACGGGAAATGCGTGATTTGCGATTCTTACGTGCGTCCGTGTACGCTAGTACGCATATGTGACGAATGCAACTACGGGTCATTCCAAGGACGGTGTGTTATATGCGGAGGTGTTGGAATCTCTGATGCTTATTACTGCAAAGAGTGTACACAACAGGAGAAAGACAGAGATGGTTGTCCCAAGATTGTCAACCTTGGGAGTGCGAAAACAGATCTCTTCTATGAACGTAAGAAATATGGATTCAAGAAACGATGATATTGGGTTTATTTTGCTATTGCACGATCCTCTGATTGCTTGAACTATTTGGGATCTCTTATTGTTATGTGTAAACTTATCTCTGTTTACTCCCATTGCTTAAAACTAATGTGTTCCTGAGAATATAAAGATATTGGATACAGATTCAGAGATTATGCTTTGTTGTTCTTTTATATAATCTAGACTTGAGTGGTCTTTTTTTAGACTTATGTTGATGTCCAAATAGTTTCTTGCATTGTGCATTGTCTTTAATGGCATCAGATCACAGTAGAAAAAGGATCTGTTCTTGCACTTGTTGTAGTCATGTTTTGAATTTACTTTTGATAATTTAAGATTAATAATTCTAATCTAAACTTACTTCTCACAAGAGATTCCAATTCTTGATCGACTCACCTACTAATTTTTTGTTATAAAATATTATCGTACCTATTTTTTAGTCCTTGGTATAAAAGATAAGACACTTCTATAAATTAGGGCCAAAGTTGCCTAATAATGTAATAGCGAATCCTCTAACGCCAACGAACTACCGCGAAAACCATTTCACCGCCGGTACAGTCGGTCTCTCCTCAGCAAAGATTCGCTCTTTATCTGCTTCGGCCACAATACTAATCGTCCAATAATCCATAATTGGTTTATATTTGATTCAGCTGCCACAGTTTCATTAGAGAGCTAGGAAGGTTTGTGTGTTAATGTTTCTTAAAGACACGGCTGTTTGGTACGAGACTAGAGATGGTTCTTGTGAGAGACTTGACTTGCCTAAAGATAACTGGTGAGACACAGGTTTGTGTGTGTGAGTGTGTGTGTGTGTGTGTGATAGACAATGTTCTACGTCGTCTATTACGAGAGATTCAGGTTGATGTGGTATGACTCTAAGTCTCTAAAGCTATGGAGAATGGTTGATGGTTTGAATCACCTAGACAAAGTTTTGTTTCGTCGGAATGGCACTATGGCAGTATACTATGAAAAGATGGCGTTTTCTATGTTCGTAGTGAAACCAATGAGATTTGGTGTAAAATGATTGGCTTTGGATATGAGTGAAGTAGGGATCCATGGGACTGCATAACCGTCTCATCAACTTATGGGGAGTTGTCCCTCGGGGCTATAATTTGCATAAATGTCTATCTGTTTCAGATTTAAAGAGAATAAATATATTGAGGCTAATAATGATAGTTTGGATTGTAGTACAATACTTTTTGAATCATCATAATTAACAAATGCCAGCAATTGACTTCCACTGAAACAAGTTAGGAATTTACGATAGATAGTTTGATATGTTCGGAGCTAACTTGTGTTTCACGTTTCTACTCTGCAATGGTTTGAATATCTATGCAGAACCACACAAAACCAGATAATATTCCGTCGTTAGATCTGTTTGTTATTGATTAAGTTTTGTTGAACAAAATCCAGCGATTCCTCTATATATATCATTTTATTCTGTTCATAAGGACCATTGTTACTTTAAGCTATGATCTCCACACTATGTGTTTATAGTTTATACGACTGAGATCAGTTAAATATTTGTTTTAAAAAAAATCTTACTTAGGTTTGTATAATTCATGGGATTATGTATACATAACGTGTCTCAAATTTCGGAGAAGCTTTTTGACGTTTTTTCTCTTTAATTTTGTTTTATATTGGACAAAGCAGGCCATTCTTATTCTTATGTAGAGAATAAAAAAATTCTTAAATTACCCCAAAAAAAAAAAAAAATCTTACCAATTTTTCCGATCTAGATTTGTCAAGATTCGATAAATGCACTATATCATCCAAATAACTAAGCTAAATAAAACAAAAGCTAAAAAAGTATGATAGTTTTACGAACCATTAAAAGTGATGGATATGTAAATGGGCTACTTTGCTTCTTTTTTTCTCTTTGTTAATTTACGTTTATCCAGATTTTTTTAGATCGAGTAAGATCGGATAACGGATCAAAAAGCGAATATATGTGATGAACTAAGTCTTTATTTTGTGCCAGGTTTCTTAATGTAAAGAAATTACAGTATTTGAGATAGTAGGTTGTGCCCTTATATCCTGGTGAAGATACTGAATCATATGACGAGGAAGATTATGTTGAAGGTTGATCCTTAATAAAATCCTGCAAGATAGAAAGCAGAAATTAATGAAAGGAATTAGAAGAAAGAAAAAAAAAGCAAAATCAAGCTTAAGAGGAAGTACATGTCGTCAAAGAAGAAGAAGCTCGTCAAAGAAGAAGAACCTCGTCAAAGAAGAAATTCAAGACACAAAGTCAATAAAATAAGAAGTTGGGCTTTGTGTATTTTTGGTGTAATAAAAAAAGTGGGCTTACAATGTATTGCTGAGGCTCAAGTGATCATATAATTAGTTTTGTTAAAGGTAACTAAGTTGAAGTTGGAGTTAGAATGTTTAAAGAGTTGTTAGAGTCTAAGTGTAGTTGTAAGAGTTGTTATGAGTTGTTAGGAGTTGGTGCAGTGTAAGATGACTTGTGTAAGAGAGTCTAAGATCTAGAAGTATGGTCCAAAGCATTGGATGCAAGTGTGTGTGGCAAGTAGAAAGTTATATAAGTATGTATGTAGTTTGTAAGAAAATGAACGATTGATCAAATATATAAATGTAGTCTTGAAAGATTTATCTCTCTATTCATCTTGTTATCGCTTAGAAAAACCAAACAACAATGAGTGAAACAGAGAACTAGAGAGATTGAGAGTGTGAGAGAAAGAAAAGAGAATGAGAGAATACGAGTGAGAACCTGAGTGTTCAAAGGAAATGAGAGGGGTTGAAGAATGTCAACAGATTATAGTTGGGTGCTGATGTAGAAGATGATTAGATGATGGTCCTGCTGATGAAGATGATGGTGATAATCTCTAAGCTTCTTAGATCAACCTGCACTCGCTCAAATTTTTAACGCCTAAGTTTTTATTTTGCAAAAGAAACGTATACAAGTTGGCCAATAACTTTTTGTTGCTCTTTGAACAGGTTCATGTAAAAAATAATTTTGAATTTTGATTAGTTGTTTGGGGGATCCCAAGTCACTCTTGTCATACCTACCAAATGTAAAAACAATCATGTTAAAAAAAAACACAATATTGTAAGATTGACTTTAAAACACAATAAATGTCTAAAGGCCGGTGTGAGACATATTTCTTTTTTTTTTTTTTGGTTTTATTTTTTTTTCTTTTGGTGTGAGACAGTTTGTTGCGTCTATAAATATAAAACAGGAGAGAGGGAAAGAGAGAGAGAGAAAGAGAGAGAGAGAATGGGTTCTTCATCTTCATCAATTGGGTTATGTTTGTTCCTCTTCTTCACACTTGCTTTCGTCTCTTCTGCTCGCCTCAGTCTTGCATTTCCGGGTACTTTTCTTCTTACCTTGATTTATATATTTAATCAAATCCAAGTATTTATATATTTCTATGATAATATGTTTTTTGATGACCTAATCTCCAAGCACTACATAACTATTAAACCATTACCTGTTCATAATCCGTATCCGTTAAACATCTCATAAGAATTTCTTCACTACATATTCTTTGTTTTCCCTTAAATTTAATTTAATTTACTATTTTCTAAGTTATTGGATGAGATCTCAGAATCAAATATGTATAGCAGAATCAAATATTTTCTAACCACATTTAATGGCTGGTGATGTGGTTGTATTCACATGATCCCTCTGTAAGTCTGAATATATCTTAAATGATTTGTTCAACAAAATCACTAAAAGAAGATGAAAACCTTAATTCTTTTTTTTTTATAAAGAAAAGAAGAGAAACTTAATTACACAAACAAAAGAGAAAATACTATATTTATCATTCGTATAATCGTATTCACAGATACCAATGATCCTAGATGTATACACAGATTAACTAAAGAACAACACATGAACCCATAAAAATAAAACTAATTAATAGTCGGTGTTTGTAGGCAAACTTTGTTAAAGAAATACATTTCAATTTGCTCTTGGTTAAGCTATCGTTTTTGAAGTTGTTTTTTTCAAGATTTTAATATCTATTGTAATCTTTCCCTTAATTATATGAAACATTACCCATTCTTTCTACATGCCAAGTATTTTCACAGTTAGATAAGAGCCATCAGTTTTACTCCATGCAAATAAAATTGCGAGATTTTACTTCTATATATTATATAATCAATCAAGAAATTATAAAACTATTTTAACAAAACAATAAAAAGAGAAATTAAAAAACTAACGTAATTTGGCTGTAGAAATGATGAATATGAGGATGCAAAAATACTTGTTATATAAGAGTACTTGGTATACATATCAATATATGTATTTTCTTAGGACAAGTTGTATATATCATAGTTTTTATATTTTCTGTCTCGAGTTTGTTTGTATCTAATTTCTCACTATATTCAAATCAAGCGAACATGAAACACGACGCTCAAGATTGTCTTACCTTTCGCCGATGACTTGTTCACACACGGCCTTACTAATCTATTTCTTTTAAAAAGATAAACATCACTGTGATACCGAAGAATCCAGTAGGATAGAACGTTGTCATATATATAATAAACTCATAAACTATACTAATATATGAAGATTAAAAACAAGTATATTTCATTTTGTAAAAGTAAACTATGATATATATAAGTATTAATACTATAAAATAGGTTCTCACTTTTAAAAGCGTTGACCTTATAAGAAAAGAACAAGGACAGATCATACTACGACTTTTTAATCAATTTTGACAGGTATTTTATTTGCATAAGATAGCAATTAAGTTGTAATGGATCTTACACTTATGTTGGCAAAAAACCGTTTCTTTCAATATAAATGTCGTTTTCATAAACACAAATTAAAAGAAAAATCAAATGTTTTTTTATATCTCTACAAAAGGAGTTGACATTTGTAAGTTATGTTCCATCTTACATGTTTTTCAATTTTGGCTAGACAAATAGTTATTTTATCGGCAAAAGTTATATTGAAATGGTAAATTTATAATTTTTTGAAACAAAAATTAGTTTAAAATTAATTTTTTCTTTGTTTTGTTTTTAACATCTTCATCCACATCATCTTCAACTTGAAGATCCTGTTCTCAATCATCTTCTTCATGAAAATATACAATAGGGCTGGGCGTTTCAACCGAAACCGAACATTTCAACCGAATATTATAATAGTATTTTTTCGGTTTTTTCGGATTTTTCGGTTTTCTCGGTTTACAGATACCCGAACATCCACTAATTTTGGATTAAAATCGGATGTATAAAAAAAAATCTGAACCGATCCGAAACCAAACCGAACCGATCCGATCCAAAATTCTCAAAAAATTGAATGGATATTAAAATCGATAACCGAATATCCGATAAACCGAAAATATCGGTTCGGTTCGGTTTCGGTTGACCGAACGCCCAGCCTTGATTGTACAAAATCATTTGCCACAAATCCGAACTGAAAAACATAATGAACCAATGAGAAATAACCGATCAATGTGCACCTCTTGTGCACTCTTTTGTGGGAAAAGAGATTCTTTTCCAATGATGTTAATGTCAGCGTCATGTTTGATATCACAAGAGGATGCGACAACATTGAAAACACAAAATAATTTTGTTTGGCTGAAAAATCATGGCAGTTAATGTTATTGTTATCAAGTTAGCTAAATATTATTATCAACATCTCAAATTCTTCATACTCATATAAGTCCTTTCTTCCAAACTTTTTTCTTCATCATCTTCACTCACAAAAGAACGGGGAACAACATTTTTAAATATACTAAACTATTTTACAGATATATAAGAAACCTCTAATAACAATAAACTCGCTTGGTGTAATTCAAAATAACGAAGTGCATCCTTACCAACTTGAACACCCTTCGAATTCATGTTTTCTTTATTTTTCTTAAAATGGATCTCGACATCCATCCATAGTCTGGTGGGATTTGGAGAATGTCCATATCCATAAATCTTATAATGCAAAGGCTACATAAGTAGTTTCTTAATATATCTAGGCTACCAGCCAACAAAGAAAATCAAAGTAGCCCAAACATTTACTTGATCTTTATATGATCTACAATTCTTCAAAACAATCCAATAATGTTAGATGGATGATATTTTTTTTAAGTTAAACTGAAAAATTATTAAAAATTCTACCTCTAGATAACCTTTATATGATAAAATATAGAAAATGATTAAATGTTGCATATGTAGTTCAAAAAAATTGAAAACTAGTGTATTGAGGAATGAGTTTTGTCTAGATATTTTATTTATTAACAAAATGTTCTTATATACCAATATTTGTTACTTACACTAGCTTTTATTTTCTAACTTATAATGTATATAAACAATTGAATATGTATATGACAGAAAATGAAATGACGGTGGTGAGAGAGCGGTCATTGATAGTGAGCACCAACGACTATGGTGAGCCTTCAGCTAATGTCAGACATGATCCACCACGTGGCGGCCGAGGCCGTTGAGAGGATAACAATTTTTTGTTTCTTTCTTAATTTTCCATATCTTTCTTGCAAGCTTGCAAATAATCTATGTATATTGATAGAGGAATAAAAATGATATATGTAAACTCAGATTGACAGAGAGTAATATATAACACATTGTTTGCATTTGTGTTCTTCTACATCGATTTCAAGTTATTATTCTTAGTAGAATCCAAATTTTGCCATACATCATTTTTGTGTGTATTACACTGTTAGTGCCGTTTGATTTTATGTTCTTAGTAAGTTAGTATCAATCTAATCTATGAATTAGTGACAAACGAGACTTACTCTTCTCGTTTGTTGAGGTGAAGAAGGTCACATACACTAACATGATTATTATCGGCAATCTCTATCTCTTTTCTTCTGAACCCACAATAAATTTAGAATAAATGGGCCGCTCAAGGCCTGTTAAGAACCTAATTTTTAATTATAAAAATACTTGGAGAAGAAAAGTTTTCTTTCGGTTGATATTTCTTAACATTTTCGGTTGATATTTCTTCGTCGAGACATTTTCAAATGCTCCCACAAGCTCAGGGAAATTTCCTAAACGGAATCCATCACTTTGAAGAAGAAGAAGAAGAAGAAGAAGAACGATGTTCTTGATCAAAAACCTCACACGAATCTCGTCGACCAATTCCTCGACCCTGATAAGATTCAGAAACACCGGATCATTCACTCTCTCCTCCCGTTTCTGCACCGCTCTGCATCAGCATCAGCAGAAAGAGACTCAGATTCAGTCTCCGGATCCAAATGGATTGGATCGGAGTCGTTACGAAGGTTTGGGACCGACGAGAGAAGGAGAGAAGCCGAGAGTGGTGGTTCTCGGGTCGGGTTGGGCGGGTTGTCGACTGATGAAAGGGATCGACACGAGCATCTACGACGTCGTTTGCGTCTCCCCGAGGAACCACATGGTCTTCACGCCTCTCCTTGCTTCTACTTGCGTCGGCACTCTCGAATTCAGGTCCGTCGCTGAGCCAATCTCTCGAATCCAACCCGCGATTTCGCGTGAGCCTGGCTCTTATTTCTTCCTCGCTAACTGCTCTCGGCTTGATACTGATTCTCATGAGGTTCTTTGCGATCACTTACTCTTCCCTTTCTGGGTGTTTTTTTTTTGTTTGTTTTAATCTCTGAGATTGGATTTTTGATTCGGGAGATTTCACGATGTTTTGTTGCCTTCTTAGATCAAATTGGTCTGAAATCATTTGAATCTCTCTCTATGTTTAAGTTAATTGGAATTTGGAGTTTGTCTAATGAAGCTCGGTTATGTTTGTGAAAAGCTGATACCTTTTGGCACACAAATGTTTGGGATTTTGCTTTTGTTACTAAATTTAGAAACTTTGCTGGATTTTGAGAGTTTTTTGTACGAGTAGCTACTATGTTTGAAGATGATAACAGCAAGAAGTAATGGAGTTTCTTAGTGGTTTAGACGTGGGATTAAGTTTTGTTTTGGTGAAGCTAATGGGGGTTTAAATCCGTTTTTTAACTGTCTTGTTCTTGGTGTGATAGGTTCACTGTGAGACTCTAACTGATGGCATGAACACATTAAAGCCATGGAAGTTCAAGATCGCGTACGACAAGCTTGTGGTAGCGTGCGGTGCAGAGGCCTCCACGTTCGGAATACAGGGAGTTATAGAAAACGCCATCTTCCTCCGTGAGGTTCACCATGCTCAGGAGATCCGTAGGAAGCTTCTTCTAAACCTGATGCTCTCTGATACTCCTGGTAAACACAATTCATCCCCTGAAGAGTTAGAATCTGAATCAGAATCAAAATTAGCACATAAGAGTCTTTCCACATTTTCTTGTAATTAGGGATATCGAAAGAAGAGAAAAAGAGGCTGTTACATTGCGTTGTGGTTGGAGGTGGACCTACCGGGGTTGAGTTTAGCGGTGAACTGAGTGACTTTATCATGAAAGATGTTCGTCAACGATATGCCCATGTGAAAGACGACATTCATGTTACTTTGATAGAGGTCCGTTGTAAGAAGCTTCTTTTTGAAATTCTGCCTTGCAAAAATAAAAAAAGTTACGATTTTTTTATCTGTGCCATGTGATTTTACAGGCCAAGGATATACTTTCATCGTTCGATGATCGACTCAGACGCTATGCCATCAAGCAGTTGAACAAGGTGAGTTCATTTAGAACATATCAACTTTGAAAAAGTTTTTGTTCTCACTTTCATGGAGCGTTTCTTCTTGAAAACTACTCTGATTTTCTAGTCTGGAGTACGGTTTGTGCATGGAATTGTGAAAGATGTAAAGCCTCAGAAGCTAATACTTGACGATGGCACAGAAGTTCCTTACGGGCTCTTAGTGTGGTCCACTGGTGTTGGTCCTTCTCCTTTCGTTAGGTCTCTTGATCTTCCAAAAGCTCCTGGTGGAAGGTTAGTTCATCAAGATCACTCCATTAGAACCCTCTTTTCACTAAAACACGTTTCACAGCTGCTCAACTTGTTGGATGTTTATCTCTATAGGATCGGTATTGACGAATGGATGCGTGTACCTTCTGTACAAGACGTGTTTGCCATCGGTGACTGCAGCGGATATCTGGAGACCACCGGAAAACAGACCCTTCCTGCTCTTGCTCAGGTAGATAAATTTCATAATCTGTTAACCTCTCAAGTCTCATCTCATCTTATACCTTTTCTTCAAATGTCTCTGATCAAACTTAGGTTGCTGAGAGAGAAGGCAAATACTTGTCGAATCTACTAAATGAGATCGGGAAAGCAAATGGAGGACGAGCGAACACTGTAAAGGAGATAGAACTTGGATTTCCGTTTGTGTACAAGCACCTTGGAAGCATGGCTACGATCGGTAGATACAAAGCCCTAGTCGACCTCCGCGAGAGCAAGGTAACAAGATTTGACTCTCAATATTTCTTTCGAAATTCATTCATAATTCTTAAACATGTGACTGAAGGAGATTGCTTGGGCAGGACGCAAAAGGAATATCAATGACTGGTTTCGTAAGCTGGTTCATATGGAGGTCGGCTTATCTGACTCGAGTCATCAGCTGGAGAAACCGCTTCTATGTTGCCATCAATTGGTTTACCACTTTTGTCTTTGGTCGTGACATTAGCCGTATCTGATCTGTGTTCAACTCCTCCTAAGTGTCATCATCTCGTTTTTTTACGGCGTCGTTTTGTGCAGGAGTACATCAATAACATAACCTACCCGAAAAGAGAGAAGGTTTTTAAATTGCTTGTTTTTGTGGTTGATGTGAGTGTATATATTTTGACCGTTTTCAGATTTTGGGGTGTTTGCACGATTTTTTTTTTTTTTTTAAATATGTTTGGGTCGTTGGGATTTCAGTTGAAGTAAAAGAGAATCTTTCAGAAGGGAATATAATAGTTAGAACTTAGAACATTAAGCATTCTAAAAAAATAATAATAGTCAGTTGGTGTTATATTTGGATTTTGTGGACAGACCCCTGAAAGAGTTATTTTAAAGTTTCTATTTTGATTGAATTTTCTTTTTAAAAAATAATGAAGTTTGGATCTTATATATTCACATGTTCACGTCAGATGTCACGCATGCTCGTATACTCTCTCCAAGTGTATGCATCTCCAAAGCATACTTGTAATGCAATTCAATAAATAATGTTGTCGCATTTATTTTAAGAAGTCCATGCAGTTAATCAATATATTCATAGAATCATAGTTATCTAACTATTGAATAACTCATTCGAGGGTTGGAGCCTGGAGGACCATAAGTTCGAGTCCCTCTTACTTAAATTTCAATCATGGTTTGAATATATAAGAATATTCGACTCAAAATATTATAGAATTCAGCTTGGGATAATAAAAAATGTCCTTGTAGTTATTGGTTTATTTATATATAGTTTTTTTTTTCTGTATGATCGTCGTTGTCCTACTTTATTATTTTTGTTTTGTTTTGTTTTTTTAGTATACACAGAAACATAATGCAAAAGAATAATATTTTAAGAAAAGGTAATGTCATGTGCAGTAAGCGAAAGGACAAGAGAGGAACAGAGTGAAGTGAGAAAATAATATAATGGACAAGTGACTTTGTCGTGGTTAACTGGTTATGTCTTTAAACTCATATCTGATCTCTCTTTGTTTGGCTTTATGTCCGATTCCGATATCTTCTCCTTGGATTGCTACTTACTCTAAATCTAAAAGTAAACGAACATCACATACATATAATTTATGTATGGAACAAAACGGTATTTTTTTTTCCGTTTATAGATCCGATACCAATGGGGTTTTTTTCAGTTATTTATGGAACAAAACGGTATTTTCTATAAACACAAACTCACTATATGAATAATGTATACGTGAAAACAAAACTCAGACGTGAGAATGCGTATATCGCAATAAGTACTTGAATGAATATTTTTGCTCTAATAATGTCAAACCTCAAACGGCTATGTGAAAAAAATCTTGACTTTTTCAGCAAAAAACAAAAATCGATTCCAAGACTCTAACTCATGATGTTATATGAGAAAATAAATACCTCTTATACAACTAATTGATATATATGTGTAAATTTATGAACCAAATGTGTGAAATAAGTATGGCAGCAAAAAGCAGAACCATGACTTTACCTTTTAGCTTTGTTTAACCTTTGCTTATGTTTTCCCCCAACCAACTATGAAACTTTTTACTTTTGTAGACATTTTACTCATGAGTGAGTGAGAAATTACTAACTCAGGGAAACAAAATCATTGCTAAGGAATGTTATTAAACTATAATAGTTGGACCCACTAGTCCAATAACCTTCTATTATTCATGTTTCACTGGTCGTAAGAACATAAACTAAAATTTTATTTTATAACCGGAAATTTCGAACTGAAACATGTTCTCTCTAATCTCCAGAACATGCATCCTTCATGTAAATTTTCTTTTTTGCTAAATGAATCCGTCATATAAAGTTTATAGTGATCAATATGAATACGCGTTGATCTACTCTCTGGTTGTAATCGACACTCGATTTGATCACTTATTAGTGTTTTTGGGTATCAACAAGGACAAGGATCAATCAAATGATCACTTATTAGTTGACATAAACGAAAAAAAAAAAAAAAATGATGAACCGAAACAAAAGGAGAGGAAATCAAGAATTTGTTGGGGTCGAATGAAATGTCATGGTTTAGGGTCAAGTGATTCATTGGATTGTTAGATATCTTTAGAAAGTCGAAAGTCATTGCTTCTGTATGAACAAAAGACAACGTGTAATTCGTCGGTTCGCACGTGTACGTACGGCCCATCTTTATTGTCCAAAGCCATCCAAATAGAGACTCTTATTGGTAGACATACCTAAATCTTTAATTATATAAAATGGTTTAAGATTTCATCTTTTTATCGACAAGTAGCTTAGTTGCCGCCTAATAGAGTAATAATATCTTTGAAAATTTTATACTTTGTTAGATATTAAACCACCCATATGAATGGTTTGTGAAGTTGAAAAGACGTGTATGTTCATGATAGATCGTGATCTTCAACCGTTCTTCTTCTTTATGGTTGTATGCATATATAAATATTCACAGAGTTTTTTTAAAAGTAGTTTATATATAGACCTAGCTACGTGTTTTATTTTACCACTCATATTCTGCAGCTTAATTATAAGTACTTGGACTCTTTTATAATTAAGTCCTTCCATTAAACGTTTGAAAGTGCGCTTCTAAAACATCTCGTGTGGTGTACTGTTTCAACTATCAGTCTATCACTCTGTTTCAATTGTTATAAGGTTTTCACAAATAAGAAAAATATTGAAATTTAACTATAAACCTACTACTTTCTAACACTAAACACTTTCTCCTACCGATATAAACTATGAGTAAGTCAATTATTTATATATTCTTAATTAATATTTATTAAAGTTAAAAATGATTTAACATTAATTAATTATAAAAAATGCATATATATATATATAAACTATTAAATCATTTTTTATAGAACAAATAAAAAAAGCGGAAAATCAATATGTTAAGATACATCAGTTGAATCACAAACTGGTACCCTATAAACGATCATTAGTATTAAGATGTATTATAGGAAAATGAAGACGATTTGATAAGACTTGGTCTATAATGAGTTATGAGAAGTAAATACAATTCATTTATATGAGAGTATGGGGTTCGGATTCGCGCGAATCTTCATCCTAATAGTGAAAAAGCTATCAGTTTTTAATAGGCTAAGATAAGATGGTCTCTGATGCTATGAATTCGAACATTCTTTCCTATGATCCACTCCAAGACCAGGATCAAGCATACTCTATGGTTCAATGCAAGACAAGACTAGCTAAGCATACTCTATGGTTCAATGCAAGACTAACTAGCTAGCTTGCGCAACTTGATTGTGGTCCAGGGTCCCTCTTTAATTTTTATTTATTTATTTATTTATTTATTTATTTTGCCATGATGATGACTAAAAATGTGGGTGGTACGTTTCATGCAGTACAAGAAATTTTTTGTTTTAGAAAGGGTCATGCACTAGATCCTTGTGCTTTGCGACTGTGCATGAGTCACGTGAATGCATATATATTAAAATGTGAAAATGTATATTTGTGCTAAGTCGTGATTGATCAATGGTCGTTTCATTTATTTCCGAGTTGGTTAGTCCATTTCCCACGGTCTATATATATGCTAACATGCACATTGATGAAACTTATATATAATTCTTATCATTTCAATGACCTCTATATATATAACATTTCTGTGATAAAAGAAAAAGAAAACTAAACTCGAATACTTCCATGTTGCAAACTTATGCGCATATTCTCGAATCTCGAATAAGTTTTCAATCTGACGTAAAAGAATAAAATGTGAAAAAGCGATTTGAAGAGAGAAAGTGCGGTACAAAAAAAAAATGCGAGGTGCATGTTTGATACACGAAAAGACATCATTTCTTTACGACGTGTTCTATACCCACTCCATTCCCTCAACACTTGTTTTGTATTTCATTTCTTGTTGTCTTTTTTTCCCCCGTCTGAATCAACACTTGAGTTTGTCTGATTTATTACATTAATTAGTTTTTTGGGTTAAATGTTAAATTTTACGTTAATTAGTTGGTATCAAAAATAATTGATTGGCAGGGCAAAATAATTTCTTATGACCCGCACGTTGATATCTCGGTCTAAAATAAATACAGAAGTTATTATCTGTTGTAATTTGTAAATTTATTATAATGTACAAAAACCTAAGGGAAGCATATTCCCGCGGCTTCATTCTTCATATTATTTTTGGTAACTAACGTAATGAGAAATGAATTTTCTTAAGAAAATAATTCTCCAACTTGGGTAACATCGTGAGTATCTACGAAATGATTCCTTTCTACGTACACGACTTTTCATAAAATACGAATGGTTAGTACAAATAATATAAGATAGATCATAAACACGTAGAGACGTGTATGATAATTGATAAGGTATATTTAGTCGTAGTTGGAGAAATATATGAATCAAGCAATCACATCAGAATTGCCGGCTCCAAAAATATTATACTAGGTCGTATTTAAACAATTAAATACAAAAGCCTTTTCTCAAAATAAAAATTTAAAATACAAATATTATTCATGTAAATGTTTCAAAGAAATAAAATTAGATCCTATTACGAATTAATGATCTGGAATATACTTAAGTGAAATGTTCACATTTTGTAAGACAGTAGTGTTGATCAATATATATATATATAATGGTTTCGATTAGTGATACTAAAATTTGATGGTAGCTAACGTAGGTGTAGAAGCAGTAAAGGTATAAGAAATTTAATCCAAAAAGACTATGGATAGGATTATTGAGAATTTTTTTTCTTTAAAAAGAACTGTGGATAGCAATTTCTTTTATCTTTGGGATTAAGTTTGCAGAATAGAACAGCATTATTAAACAAAAATTATTATTTTGGAAAACTTTAAAAAGTATTAGGTTAACCTAATTAAGAAATCGTGAAATCATTTTTATTTTAATATCAATATATACAAGTCTCTGTATTACTGTATACAATGGATTACCAGTCATAACTGTATGTCTTCTTCAAATACTGGTCGAAATATGTAATGATTTTATTAGTTAATTGAGTTTTTAAAGTTGTATAAAAAAAAAAGGTCCCTTCGGAAATCACGAGGAGATCGAAGGATGTCCTCCACCATGTGCGTCTGCTAAATAACAAACACATACTTCTCTTTGCATTTTGGGGTTTATTCTCAATTATTATTCTCATATCTCAACACATATATTATAAAAGTAGAAATGGTACGTAGCAAGTAGCCCACAGTAGTAATCATTTGTCTATTAGCTACAACTCTCACGTGCAAGCTAATAGACACACACACGCATGACACATCATATTGTATCCTTCATTTTCCTTGGCTCACTTGTACAGTTGTACTTAAGAAAAATAAAATAAAAATAAAAAATGCTGGTATGTAATCAATTTTTATAGAGCTTACACGAATTACAGGCGCCATTCTTCTGGTTCCGTGGGACCATTCAGGC